TGTTATTTGGCATTAGTTAGCGCTCGTTGGTTCTGGACTTGATAAAATTTGTATTCTTTACAGTTTCATGAATCTGCAAATGGTATGGAAGGATATTACTTCCTTGTTGAAGATTATGTCTTCTTCTGGTATGCACTACACCTGATCCTTATTTGGAATTTACTTGTTGATTGAGCAGTAATAAGATGCTTACAATTGTACACAATTGGCATGCAAGGAAGTAATTGCAGCAATAGGAAGTAACACTGTAGGATGCTTAATGGAATACTGTAGCAAGCGGGGCACTAGTGGCAGCATTAGGAAGCAAAGTGGATAGGTTACCTTTTTTTTTTTTTTTTTTTGCTTTGGGATAGTTATGTCACTGTAGTATAATATGAACATAACATTCCTCGGAATTAGATTTTTGGAAATACTACAATTCGTAATGCTATCGCAAGTTAAATTCAAAAGTATGATCTGTTACCTTTTAATATTTTAGAGGATGTTTTTGAAAGTTTGTTTGCTTCGTTATAATTATTTTGAAAATGTATTTAACAATTTCTGGATATATCTTTCTTGTGGAAAGTAAATTTTAGCTCTCACAATTCTACTATATATTTCTAATTCCTTATAAGGTTATTCTGCAGTAGTCTTGGAAATAGTAACATACTTGATGAAAAATTCAAAATCATCTTGAGAGATAAGAAGCGTTAGGTTAAATGAGCAAATTTTATTTAATTTTTTTTTGAAAAAAGTACTAGATAATCAACTTGTGTTTTTATCAAAGAAAAGTCAAATCGCATCAAATTCTAAAACAAGTACAAATAATGTATTTAATTGATTGGATGAAAAGAGAATCATTGGTGACCAATTGCCAAGCATAGAGAAATTGAAGAGAGATTGCATTCAAGAGTAGAGAAATGGATCACCGGATATTATAATCTTTGAAGGATATTTTTTTCTTGAGTAAATACCTTTTTTGGTCGCTAGTAAATTTCACGGTGCTCACATTAGTTCCTAGAAATAAAAAATTAAGCCATGTTAGTCCTTTCGTCAGTGAAGCTTCAACGACGTCAATAAAGTTACTTACGTGTAACATTACTAATCTGAGTCACATTCCACATAGGATGAGTAACGACATCGTTGATAACATTCACATTCTGTGAGTCACATCTCTTTTCTCTCTCACTGCTTCTACCTAAGCAAAAATAAAAAAATGGCATCGTTGTAGCCCAGCACAACTTCACTTCAATCCAAACACATCCACTCCATGCAGCCTATACTGATCACTCTTGAGTCGGAAAGATATGGACTTCCACTCCTATTTGTATGGGCAGGCATTCCAGCAAAATTGCTAGTAGAAAGGTCACTCTTTCACTTCAACTTTGAGTTGCTTTGATGTTGTTAGTTTGGGTATGCATGACACTTATTTGTTGAAAATACTTCACGCATGTTTTCTTTGAAAGATTCTACTTTCAAATTTTCATATTTACCACAACGGCAATAAGCCCAAGATGTAAAAAAGCAAAACTATACTCAATGATTGGAAAGAAAGTTATGTCTGCGTAAGTTTCTTTAACTAACCATAGTTTTTTATATTGATCAAGGAACCATATTGTAACTTTCATCCTACTAAATGACAAAGTAAAGAAAGGTGGTCTAACATCAAATTCAGTTTTGGCTGTTGTACTTGAGAAAGCCAAGAAGCTTGATGTGCCTTAAGATATTTTGAGCGCAACATCAAGAAAGCTTCTATGCCAAATGCTTTACGAAATGCTTTTATGCCATGTTTCTTACTTTTTTTGTCTAATTAGTTTTGGCTTGAATATTTGCAGTGACTTTGTTGATCTTTGCAAATCTGGTTTTTGAGGATTCTTGAGTCTTTGGAGCTTATTTAAAAGATGAATCAAACAAGGTTGTAGTATAACCTATAAGCTTTTGAAGCATATAATAATTGAAAAAAGATGGCTGGTCATAAAAGGATGCATGGTCTCATTGAGACCTACAAGTTGAATGGCCAATTCAAGGAGTAAATTTGTTGGCCAATTCAAGGATGTATGGCTATAGCTATTTTGTTAATGCTAACAGCCTATAGCTTTTTTGTTAATGCTAACAGCTTCCATAAAAAAGGATGTATTTACTCCTTGAAACAAGTCCATTATTTACAGCAACATTGGCAAAACCTCCAGTATTGTAAAACCCATTTCTTTTGTTGTTTCAGAACAAAACACATTGTAAATGACATGATGCATTTTATTTATGGTGCCCAATTATATGATGTTTGTGACACATGCATGTTTGTTATTATCGTTATCTTGCAATATCTATTCACTGCTATTTCTATTAGCTAATATACACCAAATGAATTTTTACTTGTAAGGATTTTTTTACTAATTTCCAAGGTTGAATGGTAGTTGCTCAGAGGTGTGTTTTTGGACCTCATAATATTTGGAGAAACTTTTTTTTCAGTCTTCCTGCTACATAGGCTGTTTAAAATTTAAACTTTGTGCCTTGGTCAATTAGGCTTTACAAATAGTTGTCTGCTGAAAATTTGTGGGCTAGATTACCTATGCCTGGAAACGAAGTAGGAGATAGGATCCATAATTTTTTTGGTCAAGAAAACTTGTCCCAGGGACAATATCATTCACAGGCAGTTGACGGGAACTGGCCAAGACTAAGCAACAATTTTTGGGTAGTAGCCAGAGGTCGGCTGGTGTGTCTTTTTTTCTTTAGGTTGGAAATTTGTTTTTTCGTGTATTATATTTATCATATTGGAAATAGTGTCAAGAATGAAAATCTCCAAACACAAACCCCAATTTCAACTATACCCAAACGATTCGTTTCACATTTTGGGCATCCAAGGTTTTCATGTTTGGTCTCCAGAACTCTAGAACCCTCTGCTTCTTTCTCTCCTCTAAGGAAAGCTAGGCTATATGCAGCGACATTAGTTGCAGAAGGGATTAACGGAGAAGAATCTGCGGAGCCACAAAAAGATGACATTTTCGGGGAGGAAGAATAAGAAGAAGAAAAAAGAGGAGAAGCCAGGAAGACTGATGAATCAAAGTGATGATGTGGATACAACATATACTTGATGATTCCACGACAACATGGTTTTGATGATAACAAAGAGGAATGATTCAAAGACGAAGCAATATCCAAAAAGCAAATGTGAAAGTATGCACCAAGTCTCAAGCATCAATCCAAGTCCAGAATCTCAAATGGTATATTCATTTAGGACTTAGGATAAATATGTAAAGATGTATAGAAACAAAGCATTGCATGAGCTCAAGGTCATTCATCAATCATATATTTCAAAAGCATGCATCCTTAAAAAGAAAAGTCAAGACAAATGGTTTCATATGTACAATTTTGGTTTGGAAGAAGTACCTATGCGATACAAACTTTTCTAGATAATTTTCATAACCAATAACATGCATTACACGTCATAAAAACCATTTGGAAAGAGTAGAAACTCAGAACTCGTACAAAAAGGCTGCTGCTATGAAATATCCGGATATTCCACTTTGAATATCCGGATATCAGATATCCGAATATATAACAAAGAATATTCGGATATACAATATCCGGATATGAGCCCGATGAATATCCGGATATGTACGGATTACAACGGCTATAAACGACTAGAAACAGCTAGTTTTCATATGAGGTGTCATTATAAATACCCACATCAGTTGGGATGAACAGTACATGACCCTATAACATTTATTGAAGCTTTATTACTCTTGCTAGCCTTTTATTACTCATTAATTACTCATTTTGATCATTGCATACACTTGAGCTCATCTTTCCTTTGAAGTTATACATCTCTTAGTTCTTCAATTTGTTCAATCTGTACTTTGAGAGTACTTAGCCACTTCTAATCACCTCAATCCTACTTCTTGATTTGAGAGGGGAGTGAACCCTATATTTGAGAGGTTACCAAATTCCTAAGAAAATTTGGAGTGAAAAAGTGTAAGGCATCAAGAGCCCGAAGTCTTGAAAAGTTGTAGTAGTTTGTCAAGCACCCTCAAGCTTGATAGTTAGTGAAAAGAATTGATCGAGCGGCTTCAGTCTGGACGTAGGTCACGGTGGTAGTGACCGAACCAGGATACATCTAGTTTGCAATTTCTCTAACCTTAATCTCTTTATTTAAGTATTAAAATTGCATCTTAGATTGTCTTTATACATTCACTTGCTTACTTTGTTGATCATTACACTTGCTTTTACAATTAGACATTTCCTTATTAAATCACTTTATTAAAGAAATAGTCTTTAAAACATCAAAGGAGGTACTTTGCGAAAAGATTTTGTAAAACTAAATTCACCCCCCTCTTGAGTATTGAAGCCACCTGTCCAACAAGTGGTATCAGAGCTTGAACTCTTGTGTAAAGAGCTTAACCGCTTCAAGAGAAGGGATGACTTCTTTGAACCATGATATGCCCCTTGAGGGATCATCTAGTACTAGACCTCCATTTTTTAATGGTGTCGATTATTCTTATTGGAAGAGTCGGATGAAAATATTTCTTCAATCTAATGATTTAAGAGTATGGAGTGTAGTTGAAAAAGGATACACACTACCTACTATAAAAAATGAGAAGGATGAAGATATTCCTAAAGATATAGAAAATTACACTGAAGATGAAATTAAGAAAGGAAATTGGAATGCTAGAGCTCAAAACTTGATCACAAATGCCTTAGGTCGTGATGAATACTTTCGTGTTTCAAATTGTAAGAATGCTAAGGAAATGTGGGATATTCTTCAAATAACCCATGAAGGAACGAGTGATGTTAAATTTACAAAATTAAATGCTCTCACTAGAGAATTTGAAATGTTTGAAATTCATGAGAATGAAAGTATTCAGAGTATGCAAAAGAGATTCACACACCTTGTCACTCATTTAAATGCTTTAGATAAATCTTTTACTAACCTTGAGTTAATTGCTAAGGTGATGAGAAGTGTGCACAATAGGGAATGGCAACCCAAGCTGACGGCTATTACGGAATCAAAAGATTTGAAAACCATGGATCTTGCAACCTTGTTCGGCAAGCTCCAAGAGTATGAAATGGAGCTAACTAGAATAACCTTGAAGGAACAAGCCATCAAGAAAAGCAAGGGACTTGCCTTGAAAGCCTCAACACCAAGCAAAGAGAAGGATGAGGAAAAAGAAGATGGAGATTCCGAAAATGGTCTTGACGAAGATGAGATGAGTCTCTTCGTAAAGAAGTATGGAAAATTCTTTAAGAAGAATTTTTCAAAGAAATCCACATTTCCTCCTAGAAGAAGATCTAAAGATGAAGGATCCTCACAACTTACCATCACTTGCTTTGAATGTGGAAAAACCGGTCACTACAAATCGGATTGTCCAAATATTCAAAAGAAAGACAAATATGAAAAGAAGCAAGGCAAGGATAGAAGGAACTTCAAGAAGGCTTATCTTGCTTGGGATGATGAATCTAGTTCTTCCGATGATGATTCCAAGGAAGAAGCAAATATATGCTTTATGCAAGATGGAAGACCATCGGAGAAATCAAGCAAAGGAACTCAACATATATGTCTAATGGCAAATGAGGACAAAAATGAATCCGAAACCGAGGTAAACTCATCTTGCTCTACTCTTTCCCCTTCATATGATGAGTTGTCTGACATGTTTGAAGAAATGCATAATGAAACACTAATACATGTTAAAGCTCTTAGAGCATCAAGGAAAACTATTAATTCTTTGGAAAAACAAATTGCATCTTTAGAAAAGGAAGTAAAAGAGTTGAAGGATGAAAATGAAACTCTCAAATTACTTGATGCTAGCATTGATTGTATTAAATGCCTATCTTCAAATGATCATGCATTTTCATCATCATGTACTTCATGCAAAGATCTAAACAATGAAATTGATGATTTAAATGAAATTCTAAGCAAATTCACATGTGGAAGAGACAACTTAAATGTGTTGCTTGGTAAACAAAGATGCATGTTCAACAAATCCGGTTTAGGCTTTGACACTAACACACAAGAAAAATCATATAAAAACTTTTTCATTTCACCATCCTACATGACAAGTAGCCCATTCATTAAATGTTTTCATTGTGGTGGAAAAGGTCATAGTGCATCCACTTGTAAAGTTAGAAAGAATGGTATTGTTGGGCAAAAGAAAGTGTGGGTTCCTAAGGGAACTAAGCCCAAGACTAACACACAAGGACCCAACATGGTGTGGGTACCTAAGATTAAATCTTGACTTTGTGATGTAGGTTTGTTTGAAGGCTAAAAGCTCCAAGTGGTACTTGGATAGTGGTTGCTCAAGTCACATGACGGGAGATGTAACTAAGTTCCAATCATTCACCAAGAAAGAGCATGGACACGTTTCCTATGGAGATAACAACAAAGGAAAGATCCTCTGTATTGGAAAAGTTGGTAACTCCTCCTCCGTTTCTATAGAAAATGTTTTGCTTGTTGAGGGCCTTAGACATAACTTGCTTAGCATTAGTCAATTATGTGATAAAAATTATAAAATTATTTTTGACTCGACCTCTTGTAAAATTGAAAGTCTAATTGATGGGCAAGTTAAGTTTCTTGGTCATAGAGTGGATAACATTTATATGATAGACTTAGATGGTATGCCTTCAAATGACGATAAATGTTTGATTAGTAAGGAAGATGACTCTTGGTTATGGCATAGAAGAATAGCACACATTGGCATGGGTCAATTGAGCAAATTGATATCCTTAGACTTAGTGATTGGGTTACCAAAGCTCAAATTTGAAAAAGATAAAGTTTGTGACGCTTGTCAAATGGGAAAACAAGTAAAGGCTTCTTTTAAATCAAAAAATATTGTTTCTACCACAAAGCCTTTACAACTTTTACATATGGATCTTTTTGGACCAACTAGAACCATGAGCTTTGGTGGCAATTACTATGCCTTGGTCATTGTGGATGATTATTCTCGCTATACTTGGACTTTATTTCTTACATATAAAAGCGATGCTTTTAAATCATTCAAGAGACTAGCCAAGCTTATTCAAAATGAACAATCTTCAAATATCGTTTCAATTAGAACTGATCATGGTGGAGAATTTGAAAATCAAGAATTTGAAATGTTTTGTGAAGAAAATGGTATTGAACATAATTTTTCCGCTCCTAGGACTCCACAACAAAATGGAGTTGTAGAAAGGAAAAATCGTGTATTAGAAGAACTTGCTAGAACGATGTTAAATGAAAATAATCTTCCAAAATATTTTTGGGCGGAAGCCGTTGGCACCGCATGTTATGTTATGAACCGTGCTTTAATTAGACCTATCTTGAAGAAAACTCCCTATGAACTTTACAGAGGAAGAAAACCCAATATTTCATATTTTCATGTCTTTGGTTGCAAATGTTTTGTTTTAAATAATGGAAAAGAAAACCTTGGCAAATTTGACTCTAAAGCCGATGAAGGCATATTTCTAGGATATTCACTTACAAGTAGAGCTTATAGGATCTATAACAAAAGAACAATGGTCATTGAAGAGTCTATTCATGTTGTATTTAATGAGACTAACCATGCCTTGCCTAGAAAGGAACTTTGTGATGATGATGTTATAGAAAGCATGGAAAACATAAACTTGAATGACAAAGAGGAAAATGAAAGGGAAAAAGAAAAGGAAGCAAACAATGAAGAAACTCCAAGTCAACAAACCAATGATGGAAACAATCTACCACAAGATTGGAGAGTAGCTAGAGGACACCCCATTGATGCGGTAATTGGTGATATATCCAAAGGGGTAACTACTAGAAACTCAATTAGAAATATTTGTAATCACTTAGCATTTGTGTCTCAAATTGAACCTAAGACCATAAATGAAGCAATTATTGATGAACATTGGTTCTTGGCAATGCAAGAAGAACTAAATCAATTTGAAAGAAATCAAGTTTGGGAACTTGTGCCAAAACCAAATGATTATCCAATAATTGGAACCAAATGGGTCTTTAGGAACAAGCTTGATGAAAATGGCATAATAACTAGAAACAAAGCTAGACTTGTTGCTAAAGGATATAATCAAGAGGAAGGTATTGATTATGATGAAACCTATGCTCCCGTTGCTAGATTAGAAGCTATTAGATTACTACTTGCATTTGCATGTATAATGGATTTTAAACTCTTTCAAATGGATGTCAAAAGTGCCTTTTTAAATGGTTATATTCAAGAAGAAGTATATGTTGATCAACCTCCCGGTTTTGAAGATCTTGATTTACCTAACCATGTCTTTAAACTCAAAAAGGCCTTATATGGTTTAAAGCAAGCTCCAAGAGCATGGTATGAAAGATTAAGCAAATTTCTTTTAGAAAAAGGTTTTTCAAGAGGAAAAGTGGACACAACTCTTTTTATAAAGAAGAAAGATGATCATCTATTATTTGCACAAATTTATGTTGATGATATTATCTTTGGTGCCACTAACGTTAATCTTTGTGAAGAGTTTGCTAATCTCATGCAAAGCGAATTTGAAATGTCTATGATGGGAGAGCTAAACTTCTTTCTTGGTCTCCAAATAAAGCAACACAAGGATGGGATATTCATTAATCAAGCTAAATATTGCAAGGAGTTACTCAAAAAATTTGGAATGGACAACTCCAAGGCCATTGATACTCCCATGGGTACATCTTGTTCTTTAGACAAGGATGAAGGAGGTAAATCCATAGAAATTACTAAATATCGAGGTATGATCGGCTCACTTCTATATTTAACCGCAAGTAGGCCCGATATTATGTTTTGTGTGTGCATGTGTGCTAGATTTCAAGCTAATCCTAAGGAATCACACTTAAGTGCCGTAAAACGAATTATGAGATATCTTGTAGGCACTTCACACATGGGATTATGGTACCCTAAAGGTGCGTCATGTGAACTAATTGGTTATTCCGATTCCGATTTTGCGGGTTGCAAATTGGATAGGAAAAGCACTAGTGGCACTTGCCACTTTCTTGGTTGCTCACTAGTCTCTTGGCATAGCAAGAAACAAAATAGTGTGGCATTATCCACGGCCGAAGCGGAATATGTGGCGGCCGGTAGTTGTTGTGCACAAATCATATGGATGAAACAACAACTAAAGGACTTTGGGGTTGATCTTGATCACATCCCCATTAGGTGTGATAACACTAGTGCCATCAATATCACCAAAAATCCCATTATGCACTCACGGACTAAACATATTGATATTAGGCATCATTTTATTCGAGATCATGTGCAAAACGGTGATTGTATTTTAGAATTTGTAGAATCTTCAAAACAATTGGCCGACATTTTTACCAAACCTCTCCCAAAAGAAGTGTTTTACAATTTGCGACGAGAAATTGGTTTGATTGATCCTTCATATTTGTAATCATGCATGAATAGCTTCTTAACTTGCAAACCATACCTTGACCATTGCTTTGATCTTGCTCTTTTCATAACTCATAGCCCAATATACCTGTTATATATGCCTTTCAACCTTTTTACTATGAAGTATATGCCATATGACATGTTTGATTGAATTCAGTATGCCTTTTCTGGTCTTTTTTCGTATCTGTCTGGATATATCCGGATATTCAACATTGAATATCCGAATACAATTATCCGGATACGTATATCCGGATACCATATCCGAATATCTATATCCGGATACGACATCCGGATACTGGATATCCGGATATTGTGTTTCACATATCCGGATATTTGTCGCGCTGTGGTTCTTTTAAAACAGGTGTCCACTCATCTTCTTCGTTCCTTTTCTCTTTTAACCTTCGTTCCGCTCCATCTGCCTTGCCGCCTCCGTCCTTTTCATCGTTGGTGTCCCTCTCCCTGCAATCATTTCCAATCATCTCAATAGCCTCTCCGTTCTCCTAACCCTGTTCGACCCACTTCTGGTCCTCGCATCTCAGTCGCCGGTCCTGTCTCTGTCATCTGCTACACGCCATGGCTGACAATGGTGCACGAGAACGCCGCTCCAAGAGGAGGGCTGACACCCATGCCTCATCCTCTGCCCCTGCTGCCTCTGCCCCCGTTGACCGCTCGGGCTTCGGGTATCTCTTCGATGGAAATCCCGAAGAAACCCGTACATTCATTGAGAGGTTCTCCACACGCCCCATTCTGGAGCCGAAGTACTTGGACACTGTTTTTTTGGCAGCTCTGGGGTTTGATATCTGCCAAACTCTTGACTCTGTCAATTTACTCCATTTTGCTGCCCTACAGTGCTCTTACTCCGAAGTTCTTGTTAGAGCATTCTACAAGAACATCCAGTACTCTAATGGCACTTTACGCTCTCGCGTAAAGGGTGTCGACATTACCGTCACACCTGATGACTGGGAAGAGCTAGTTAGCTATACCTTTCAGATTAATGATGCTGCTGACGATGATTTTGTGACTGATGATGAGCCGCTTACCTTTGATGGGATTCACTTCTCCGACTTTCAGTCCTACGATCGTGCAGCATTCCTGGCTTCCATCCTTCGTCCCCGGACTGCACAGATAAACCTGGTCCGATTCTCAGCCAAGAAGCTGACCATCTCTGCTCGCATCCTGCTTTATGTGATATCTCACATCATTCTCCCTAGGCATTCAAATCATACCATTGTTCAGGAGAATGATCTTTTTACTATGTGGGCCATTGGCACTCAGCTCCCCATTGACTGGCGCCACACCTTCTGCTGTCAGATGAGAGATGCCTCTTATGGTTCCACTGCACATCTACCATACCCTATGCTCATTCAGCGCATCATGGAGCTTAAGGGTGTGCCCATGGATGGTGAAGCAAAAAAGAAGCTCAGGCCCGCTCACAACTGCTTTGGAGAAAAGCTGCTGATCAAGACGAACTTCGTTTACTTGCATGGTCAGTGGCAATGGGATGATGAGGCCACATATGGAGATGCCTCAGCTGTTGACATGGAGGAAGATTTGCACACTCCGCAGGCTGCTAATAGGCCAGTAGATCCACCTTCTACTGCTGCGACTCGCCTTCCTCCTCTGCCTCCTCCACACACCACGACTTGTGGCTATACTTCTCACGACATCATGCTTTACCTTAAGCAGCAAGAAGCTGCTCATATTGCATTCCGTGAGGACTGGTACCACTTCCGTGAGGATGTCTCTTCTCGTCTCACTCGCATCGAGACTTCCCTTTGCCTTCACTCTCCTATCAGTGATGCTGGCGGCTCTCATGTTTCTCCTGCTGAGGGAGATGAGGATGATGAGGCCACTGCTTCAGTTACGGATACTTCCAGTGATGACGACGACTCTTAGTATAGGATTACTTATTGTCATTTTGTTTCGCAGCTAGACTATGCCTTTTTTGGACGCTTGTACTCCTTTTTGATTAATATTTTGTTTGAGTACTACGCGTATCTACTTGATGTATGTAACCACTTTTCGCTTAATGATATGCATCACATTTTCTTTGCAATTTCATTACACTATCTTCTTACTTGCATACTCCTTTCACTATTGGATTACTTCTTTTTGATATTGCCAAAGGGGGAGAAACATCTACTAAATTGCGAAATATTCAATCACTCAAGTTGCAAGGTAAATAGGGGGAGATATTGAAAATTGAAAATAACCTATGCCATGAACTAAGGGGGAGTACTATATTTCAATTGAATGAATTTATGCAACACTAACTCTCTTTCTCAATTTAAAGTTTGTCATCATCAAAAAAGGGGAGATTGATGAATCAAAGTGATGATGTGGATACAACATATACTTGATGATTCCACGACAACATGGTTTTGATGATAACAAAGAGGAATGATTCAAAGACGAAGCAATATCCAAAAAGCAAATGTGAAAGTATGCACCAAGTCTCAAGCATCAATCCAAGTCCAGAATCTCAAATGGTATATTCATTTAGGACTTAGGATAAATATGTAAAGATGTATAGAAACAAAGCATTGCATGAGCTCAAGGTCATTCATCAATCATATATTTCAAAAACATGCATCCTTAAAAAGAAAAGTCAAGACAAATGGTTTCATATGTACAATTTTGGTTTGGAAGAAGTACCTATGCGATACAAACTTTTCTAGATAATTTCCATAACCAATAACAGGCATTACACGTCATAAAAACCATTTGGAAAGAGTAGAAACTCATAACTCGTACAAAAAGGCTGCTGCTATGAAATATCCGGATATTCCACTTTGAATATCCGGATATCAGATATTCGGATATATAACAAAGAATATCCGGATATACAATATCCGGATATGAGCCCGATGAATATCCGGATATGTACGGATTACAACGGCTATAAACGACTAGAAACGGCTAGTTTTCATAGGAGGTGTCATTATAAATACCCACATCAATTGGGATGAACAGTACACGACCCTATAGCATTTATTGAAGCTTTATTACTCTTGCTAGCCTTTTATTACTCATTAATTACTCATTTTGATCATTGCATACAATTGAGCTCATCTTTCCTTTGAAGTTATACATCTCTTAGTTCTTCAATTTGTTCAATCTGTACTTTGAGAGTACTTAGCCACTTCTAATCACCTCAATCCTACTTCTTGATTTGAGAGGGGAGTGAACCCTATATTTGAGAGGTTACCAAATTCCTAAGAAAATTTGGAGTGAAAAAGTGTAAGGCATCAAGAGCCCGAAGTCTTGAAAAGTTGTAGTGGTTTGTCAAGCACCCTCAAGCTTGATAGTTAGTGAAAAGAATTGATCGAGCGGCTTCAGTCTGGACGTAGGTCACGGTGGTAGTGACCGAACCAGGATACATCTAGTTTGCAATTTCTCTAACCTTAATCTCTTTATTTAAGTATTAAAATTGCATCTTAGATTGTCTTTATACATTCGCTTGCTTACTTTGTTGATCATTACACTTGCTTTTACAATTAGACATTTCCTTATTAAATTACTTTATTGAAGAAATAGTCTTTAAAACATCAAAGGAGGTACCTTGCGAAAAGATTTTGTAAAACTCAATTCACCCCCCTCTTGAGTATTGAAGCCACCTGTCCAACAAAGACTGTGTGACTAGCCAAAACGATATCGTATTTTGTCCAAGGTGGATTGTGACTCAGCGATTTAACGTGAGCAACGTTAGTAACGACGTTGGAGCTCAACTAACAGAAGGACTAACATGGGTCTAGTTTGAATATTACAGGGACCACAAATGGCTTTTTTTATTGCTAGGGACTAAAGTGGGCACCATGAAATCTGCTAGGGATCGAAAAAGGTATTTACTCTTTTTTCTTTTATGTCCCGAGAAAATAACTTGCCCATAGGAATAAAAAATATTAAGAAAATGTAACTTTCTTAAAGCTCTAATAAAGGGCAAACCTTTTTCTAATGGTAAGGATGAATATTGATTATATGCAATCTTATTTATATTATTATTTTTTTCCTTAAAAATCAATAATAATAATAATAACGGTGCTGAAGAATCGCTCCTTATAATAAGTTCGACAATATTAATTAGGTAATTGATGAATCAATAAATGTATAATTTTTTTTAATAAATTCTATAAAAACAGTAATAATTTATTTCAAAATTTACATTTTAACGTACAATTCTTAAAACACCCACCATCGAAAATAAGTACATTTTATGTCTGAACACCAAATTTGAATCCTTAAAACCTTGATTAAAAGAAAATTCACACTTACCAATACTTTGCCCATAATATAGGTGGGGAAAATAAAAACAACCTATCTTAGAAATCAAAATTTTTAAGTGTGCATTTATTTTGTAAAACTTGGAGCTATAAGCTGGAGAAGACAAGTTATCCACACACCCTAAAATGCTAGGGAGGAAAACATACAATGTATACAAACTAGCTACGAGATTAACATGTTGAGAAACAAATTGGAGACATCCGTGAATATGCATGTTTATACGAACAAAAAGATTGTTTAAATCCACACAACATTTATAGGATTGAAGGAACCAAATAAAAAGGACTTGATGATTAATTCCTTCATTTTTAGATAGTTACATTACATGGACTAAGTTATAACTTATGAAAGTCTATTATGACAAAGCACTTGTGTTTATTAAGAAATCCTGACAAAGCAATCCCTGCTCATATTGTGATTATTAAAGGGATATAAATTTACATTCCTGAAAAGGGAGCCTGTAACAGCTCGTTGTATACCGGTATGTTATCATTACGTGTGGTATTAAGTGCAATTACAATCACAATAGTTGAATTAAAATATCATAAATTTTTTTCCTTTTTATTCAACCTTTTTATTTTGAAACCAATTTCGTATTTTACAAAATTCTAAACTGTAATTAGAACTCATACATATTTGTGGAATAATTAATTCTAAGTCATACATGTCGTATATTACTTATTTTTTGATGCTATGTCGTTCCCATAAATCAACACAACC